AGGACCCGGCCCCACCGCTGGGGCTGTGGGGCGGGCACAGGGGGTGTCCCCAGGGCTCAGCCCTGGCACCGCTCTCCTCTCCCCGCAGTCACCTCGGAGCAGATCGAGCACCTGCACCGGCGCTTCAAACAGCTCAGCCAGGACCAGCTCACCATTCGGTACTGCAAATCCTGCCCCACTGCAAATCCTGCCCCACGGAAAATCCTGCCCCACTGCAAATCCTGCCCCACGGAAAATCCTGCCCCACGGCAAATCCTGCCCCACGGAAAATCCTGACCCATGGAAAATCCTGCCCCATTGCAAATCCTGCCCCATGGCAAATCCTGCCCCACGGCACCGCCTGCCCCACGGCAAATCCTGCCCCATGGCAAATCCTGCCCCATTGGCAAATCCTGCCCCATGGCAAATCCTGCCCCACAGCAGCTCCAGCCCACCCAGAGCATCTCCCCTCCCCTCCCCGGGCTCCCCGGTGCCAGCCCAGGGCTGGGACCCGAGTCCATCCCAGCCACCCCCAGCCTCGCTGGGCCGGCCTGGCCTCACAGACATTCCAAGGGAAAACACGGCCGGGGCACTCCTGACAAACCTCTCATCACGCCCAGCTTTAAATTCACTTCTGGGGAGGGAAGGGGGGTGGAAGTGGCTCCTGTCCCTCTCCGCGGTGGGAATTGTCAGCCCCGAGCCCCCGCTGCTCCCCCCTCCCGGGTCATTCCTCGGCTCCTCTGCTTTATAAATCCTGGAGGGCAAATGCCCGAAGCTGAGGGGAGGGTGGACAGCGGGATTTCCTTCCTGTGCCTTGTTGAGCCCTGTTTGAGGCCTTTTCCTGGGAAAACAGAAATCCAGGGCAGGTGGAGCCGTGCAAAGGGCGCCGGTGACATCCCAAGAACTTCCCAAAGACTCATTTTAGTGGGAAAAAAAATCCCTGAGCACAGACTTGCTCCCAGTCTGAACAGAGGCCAAAAGGGGTTTTTACCCAAAACCTCTTTATTTTTCCTTGATTGCTTTGGAAGGAAGGGGCTGGGTCTGGCAGTGGCTGTCAGAGCCTCTCCCTCCTCCCCGTCCCCCTCACCCTCCGGCTCTCTCTGTCCCTTTGCAGCAAGGAGAACTTTGACAGCATTCCCGACCTGGAGTTCAACCCCATCAGGGGGAAAATCGTCCACGCCTTTTTTGACAAGCGGTGAGAACCCCCCAGCAGGCAGGGAGGGATGAATTCTCCTCTGGAAACGGGATGGGGCTGCGCAAGGATCTTCTCCCTAAAGGCTGGGGTGGAACCAGGAGGAAAATGAGATATTTAGGATAAATCTTAGGGACCAAAGCTTTGCTGGGGGGTGTGAGGGGCTCGGGAGTGGCTGGCTGGGGGCTCCCCATCACCGAGGGCTCCGGTTCCCCCAGGAACCTGCGGCAGGAGTCGGACGGGCTGGCGGATGAGATCAACTTCGAGGACTTCCTGACCATCATGTCCTACTTCAGACCCATCGAGATGAACATGGACGAGGAGCAGCTGGACCGCTTCCGGAAGGAGAAGCTGAAATGTGAGCCCTTCCCAGAGCCCGGGGTTTGGGGGTGGTGGGAAGGGGCTGCCCTGACCCCGCCGTCTCCCCCCAGTCCTGTTCCACATGTACGACTCGGACCATGACGGGAAGATCACGCTGCAGGAATACAGAAATGTAACGTGGGCTCCCTCCTGCCCCCAGCCCCCCGAGCTGCCGGGCCTGGAGCTGACCCCCGTGCCTTGCAGGTGGTGGAGGAGCTGCTGTCGGGGAACCCCCACCTGGAGAAGGAGTCGGCTCGTTCCATCGCCGACGGGGCCATGATGGAGGCTGCCAGCATCTGTGTGGGACAAATGGTGGGAGCCGCGTCCCTGCCCCGCACTGCCACCACAAACGGGGCTGGAAGGTGGCCCTGATCCCCAGGGCACCTCCCTGCCCCTCAGCTGCCTTGGCTGGAGATGTTCTTGCAGCAGTTTCCAGGGTTGGTGGTAGCTCATGAGGAGGGGGATCCCGTGAAGCCCCATCCTTCCGGCTTATGGAAAAGGCCGTGGGGGTTTGGAACCCAGTTTTGGGCTGGCCACGGGGTCCAGGGCAGGGCCAGCACTGGGAAGCCATGGGACACGTGTCCCTCAGCCCCAGGGGACATCCCTGGGCCACCCCTTCCCCATCACCCCGGAGCAGCTGCAATCTTTGATCTCTCACCGTGACAGGGCCCGGACCAGGTGTACGAGGGCATCACCTTCGAGGATTTCCTCAAGGTCAGGGACATCTCTGCTCGTGTCCCCAGGAGGAGGGACCTGGGGGGACACAGGGACCTGGG